CTATATATATATATATATATATATATATATATATATATATCTGTGTCAGTGTAAACATTTGCTGTTATGTTAAAGTTTTTCTTCATTACCCATTCAAGCCATCGCCAAGTATTATTAAACTGCAAGATAGATGGAAAAATCCAGTCCAGGCTGGCAGCGTCTGGAATAAAACATCAGACCTGCAGCAGGAGGATAGTCACACCTTCTACATAGACATAACATCACCACCCTACTCTCAACTGAATGAAATTGTGTACACTCAGGAGGATTCTTCCATGATCTACCACCCCAGCAGTTATGATCTGGGAAGTGGCAAGGACTCCTGTACTCCATTGGGAGCAAGGACGAAAGAAATGCACTGGAGAATCCAGAGGAATGCATTACTGGAGAAAGTGCAATGGGTGACCACGACAAATATTTTGAAAAGCAGACTGTTCCCAATTTCAGCAATCAAAGGAATGTTAGAGATTGGCAGCAATCTTTTTTCTGCTTGTCCATGAGTGTACAGTCTGGTACAAACATATTTGTGATGCAATATACTGCAAGAAAGAACCTGCAAGCAGTCTTATGGAACACCATGACTTAATTTTAAGGAAATTTCCAGGTTGTATCAGAGGTAGTCCAGAAAGATGTATTAGTTGTCTAGGAAAAAAAAAAAGAAATAAGACTCAATTACAATAATTTTCATGTTTTTATGTCTTATTTATTTCCAAAAAGTACAATTAATGTAATTAATTAATTGTAAGTACAATTCTGTTTTATACTGATGAAAACTTCTATAAAATTTTGTTTGCAGTTACCATTATTATGTTCTGTTTAATTTGTGGATTTTCTTGCTTTTTCCATGGTAGCTAGATCTTCCGTATTTCCTAGACTCAATTGGTTCTGTCTGTCTAACATTAGCATTAGGCCTATACATGCGTAATTGTAAGGATGGGGAGTCAGTGTTTCAACTATGATGATTAACGATGAAAGTTCTGAGTTTGATTTTGTAAATTTGATCGTTTTAGTTCCTACCAAAGGTTTATTGGTAAAAAGTTGAGATAACCAGGTTAGTTTTACTGTCACAAGCATGTATGCTAGAAATTAATTTCACTAAATATTTGTATTAGCAGCATTCGTTTGCATTGTGAATATCCACCCGTCCATACATATGCATACAAACATAGTGCAATACAATGTGTGGTAATAGCTTCATTTTGAGTTTACTTACTTACTAAGTATATATATACACACACACACACACATATAGCATTTTTTCACATTGACTGAGTATTGATTTAAATACTAAACGTTTTTTACTGGTAAAACTTCTGTACTTGAGAATGACAGCACCAGTGATCAAAACAGTGTGCCTGCTTTAAAAATAACTCTTACTTAATGTAAAAGCTGTAACTTTCAGCCAATCATAAAGTGAACTTTTCCTAACATTTTCAGTTCCTTCAGGTGGATTGTGCCAACATTTCTCTAGTAGAAAGTACAATCTTTTGTAAACAAAAAATAGACAAAAAAGATATTTTTTGCAGGTGGTTAAAATTTTTTGAGTTCATAGTTAGGGACTTTATCGATGGTAGAGGATTGGAGTCAACATTATATGTGTAGTGTGGGCATGGATAAGTGTACAGTAGACTGTGATGCTGTTTTGAGTAAGGCTCTGTTCCAGGGTGCAAGTCATCAATTAGACAACATGGGGGTTTAAGTTGGTTGTCTGAGGAAGTTTTTAGTCATCACAGATGACCAAATGACTTAAAATAGAGCCCAGATGACAACATCTCAACAGTGATTGTGATAGACCTTATAGATCTCATAGTGCAAATTTTGATATCAGTATACCTGGACAGGCACCACTTGTCACAGAGGATCCATAACACGTTACTGGGCTCCTAAAAAAAAAAGAATTTACTCAGAGTTGTACCGATGTATGAGAACAGCTACAGGGGGAAGATGATATCCAACTGAGCAGGAAACTGCCATACAGTGCAAGTAGCATGACACCAAGGGAAGTGGTCCATATGCCAGCCTGGATAATTTCCTCTAAAAAATGACAGAAATGAGAAGCCAAGGATATTAGGAGGTGATGGATCAGATGAGATAATACGCAACATTTGGCAAGATTCAGAAGAAAGGGAGGAATGCACAATATGGATAACCTGTTAAACCCAACCGGTAAGTAAGGATATTAGGAGATATATCACGACAAAGGGTCAGATCTTAATGGATAAATGGGAGCAAAAGTCATGGAAAGGTGCTGTGCCAGACATATAACACCATAAAACACAGACCAAACACAGGAGACGATCTGGATCAGAGCAGGAGTAAATATGGCATATTTTCATAACGCACTAAAAAAAAATCTGAAATCAAGCAATAGATCTTTACACTGTCATGCCAAATCAAGAAGTGAAGATTGCATTCAACTGCATAGAGGGAGTCAGTTGCAATAAGAGGGTGTGTCTCACTTCTATTGGTGGAGAGTTGCCACATCCTAATTTGCATGGCTAGATGCAGCTGAACCACTTGGTATACACAAGGAATTAGGTAGGAGTTCAAAGCTAGTAGCAAGTAAAAATTTGCACAATAGAGGGTAGTCAAATCGAGAACAGCTGTAACTGTTAGAGGAGGGAGGTAATCATATCAGAATTTGCTAACACCTTTACTGGGTTAAATATTTTTTAGATATTCATTAGTAAAGTGGTACCCTTTTTTGTTAATTAAAAGTTGATTTATGTATGTATGTATACATACAACAATGATATCTACAAGTCTTGTCATACACAAGTTATGACATAAGCATATAAAGTAAAATAAATTAGGCCTACCACTCACTAAGGGTTATGAAACATTACATAGATAAGGTACTTACCTCAATAATTAATGAAAATACCATTTGTAGTGCCTTGATGCTTTAAAGGTCCATATTGATCTTACAAATTCATCATAGGCATTTCTTACACTGTTGGTCTTAAGTTCTGCTAAAAAAACATGAACTCATTTTTTATTCCATGCTATGATTTCAGCATTATGGCATTTTTCCAGACTCTCTAGGTGTTGGATATACAAAACTGTTTAGTGTAAGAGTTATTATTTATTTCATTTAGTGATCTAAACTTTAATGATTATGTAGTTTTTGTAACAATTGTTAAAAGTTAATTATTTTAAAAGCAATAATCATGACAAGTTTCATTACGTACCTCTATGCGAGTCATGCATTGCACATGCATTTTATTTTTTGTACTAGGCTATTGTTATATTGTTGATGTCACATTACTTGAATCTTCATTGTTTTTCTCTTTGCCTTAACTGAGTATTGTTACATCATAGTATCTCGTGGTTTGTATAAAATTCAAGGTCTCAGTTGGGCAGTGAGCACAAGTCAAGAGATGTTTAGCCAGAAAGTTAGTTAGTGAAAGAGAATGTGAAGTTAGTCGGTGTGTGAGCGATTAGCCTCAGCAGGTGATTTCTATAGTGTTTCACAGCTGTATGGTAACAACGAAGATAGGAAAAATTATTTGTCTTGTCAACTGGGTTCTAAAGTAACTGAACCAGCCTGTGTGGACAGATTGTATAGTAAGAGAAAATAATTTGTCTTGTCAATTGGATTCTAAAGTAATGGAATCAGCTTGTAATCTGTGTAATCAATAATAATTAACCATTAATACAGTCCCTTCCTTGGGTTTAAAGCTTTTAAAATATGTGAGAAACAAAAGGAATGAGTTTGGAATTTCTGAAGTACAAAATTGCTGTAAATTACTACAACTCTGCAAAGATTTCTGTTTCACAAATTAATACCAGCAGCCAGGGCCAGATTAACACATAAGGCACATGAAGCCATGGCTTAGGGCCCTGTGCTGGAAGCAGCTAGGCCTATAGTACATTCAGTGAAAAAATCTCCAAATTAAGAGCAAAGGATTAGGCCTAAATGAAAAGATGAAAAACTGATTACACTACTTTTCTACACTAGGACACCTATATGAAAAAATAATTTTCAAGAAACTTATAATGTTGGCTAACAGCAAAGCAACAAAGAAGAAATTATAACAATAATGATAAGAAACCACATGTAGCACTGTATTCCCAATAATACACTTTTTAACTCAAGAATCTTGAGGAACTTTCCCTCTGTAGCTTGTTAGTTTTTTCAACCACAAATATTAAAATTTAAAATTGAACTGTGATATAAAATGCTACAAGTTATTTATAAGAAACTATGAAAGTTGGAACTTATCCCAGTCAATTTTCTGACCTGTATCTTTAGCCAAGTATGCAAACAAGCAACATCATTTACCATCAACTCTCCTCAGCTGTTTCTTATATGGACAATAAGAAACCACTTGGTCCTTCAAGGATTCTTTGTACCCCCTTTATGTTTTCAGGAAATCATCTATTCCCCTCTTAAAAACTCTTTTAAAGTGTTAACATTACTATCGTTACTGGCAAGACATTCCATGATGTTAGATGACCATTGGTCAGTCACCAGTACAATGAATTAAGATGATAAAATATCATCTGTGACAGAATATTGAACTCAAGACTGAAGTTACACTATTACTCTGAAACTAGTTCTCTGCCAACTCTGCTAACAAGGCTTACGTGTTCTAAGCTGACTGTCACACTGGACTGGCAAAGACAAATTCTTTTAATATTACATATATCTTTTAGTAAACAAGATTTCCAAAAAGTGAACAGAACAGCAATAATTTACGCATCACAGATTAAAGTAATTTTCTCTATAGCACTTAAGTTTCATTTCATCATCATCAATGGATCCATTTATAAATATTCTCTTAAAACTTGCAAATCGATGACATCTAAGTTATACGAACACAAGCAAAGGCATTGTAACAAAATTCCACTTAGCCCAACAAGATCACATCTCATCCATAAAAAAATAAATAAACACTAATAAATATCCACTTTATAAATAAGAATTCTTGCCCATATGCCCATCCAGCAAAGTTAATACAATTCAAACTAGTTGCACATATGAAATCATTAAACAAACTATTCCTTAATTTTTTTACGCCTACAAAAAATATGTTAAAAACATTACTACATCTAGGCTTCCAAAGATCAAATATATTGCCTTAATACTTAAATTTGTATTTCCAACCTTTACACATTATCACTCAAACATAGCAACTGTACAAATCTCTAACAATCTTGATTGCTCCTAATTCTTCTGCACTCCAGATAAAACAAGTCCAAAACTTTAAACCTTGTCTTATAATTTAAATTAATTAAGCCAAGATATTTAAATTAAACATCCTTATTATCACAAAGTTAACATGTTAATTGTACTCCTAGCAAAACCTCATTAATTTTATACAAGGCTGTGAAAAGCTTAGTTTTTGAATTAAAAATTCATATAAAGAAAAACAAAGAAGACTATTTGCTTTTTCCACCATGTCTAAATACTCAACAGGTGGAGTTAGGTTTTTATCAAAAATCATACCTAAATCTTTCTCTTTTTCCACACCAATCTTCTTACAAGTAAAGCAAGTCCTTTCCAAACCTAGTTAACACAAAAATCAAACATAACTTCCACAAATTTAACTTGTATTTTAATGTACAACCAAATATGCATATTTTTGATTGCTTTAAATCCTAAAGTTGTGTAGTAACCTTTAACTGTGTATTAATTGAGTTTTAGTTTGATATTTTTAAATTCTTACATACACTAGAAACAAAAACAACCCAAATAAAATGTTCTGTTTTTAGCATAAAACTAATAAGTATTATGTTATTGAATTCCAATAATTACTTAAAAATTATCTGTATTTAATACTCTATATAAAATTCTTATTTGGAATATTCTCAATCTTATAGTGTATCATTTGTAATAACAGATGATAATTTACATAACTGCCCAACATTTCATGATTTTGTCAAAAATATATTCCTATTTCTTCAGTCTTGACATTACATTTTTAAATGGCAAAAACTATAATTTACTTACTATATTTTTTAATACAGAGCATAAATGAATTTGTAAATCCCTAACAATTAGTTACAAGAGAATATTGAGTATACACAAGTGTGAATTCAAAACAGTTAAGAAAATTTCCTCTATCATATATAATTTATAACCTTAACAGGAGTCCAACAGCCAATCACAGGCTTTCTAGTAGTCTAAACAATTAATGTTTGTATGTTTCTGACTGGGAGGAGGCTGCAACTTTATGCAAATAATACATTGGGTTATCATAATTTAAGGTATGATCAATCTCTTAAGCAGTGTGTTGTTACTAGAGGTATGCTAAATTGGATTTTAGATTGAATCTACAGAAACACTCAATACTAGTCTAAAAAAGGTTATAATTTCATTGTGTAGGTAACCAATTAGGCCTCATTTGAAGTATTGCATTCAGTCATGGGTTCCTTGCCTTAGGAAGAACATCAAGTTGTTGAATGAGAGCTACTAGGATGATATATATGGGATAGTATGGTTGTCCTGTGGAAGGTGTTGACATCAGATGTTGTGGGTGTAGTCAATTTAAAGGATTTTAAGGGAAGGCTTAATAAATATTTAAATGATAAGGGACAGCTATGAGTTTATATTTGTTTTTATTAGTTTTATTTAATGGATTGGACAGCCTAGATAAGCCAACAGATCCTTTACGTTGTCCTTAAATTTTAAATCAAAAAAGTTAACAGTTGTTATCATATTTCACTCGATAATTTTGCAATGGTTCTTTAGTCACTATCTCTAGAATCTTTCCCACAACAGAAGTAAGACTACTGGTCTATTATATTTGGGCCAACTCTTATAACACCTTTACTACTAGGGGTAATATTTACTAATATTCAATTCTCTGGCACCTACCCACTGTATACTGACCTGCCAAAAATGACCTTTGATCTGTGAAAAACATTGTCTAGTCTTGGTGCTTTATCTGTAACTGATCTCTCAGTCTTCCTTTATATTACCAAGGGATCTACAAGATTTAGATCAATTCTAGTATTTCCCACAAAGTACCGATAGTTAGGGTTGTCTCTAATACTCTCTCATGTATAAACCAAATCCTGAAAGTATCACTTTAAGGGAGTCCTTTAAGTTCTAAGGGCATTCCTGGCTTAGGGGATATTCTCAAGCTCTGGGAAACATAGCTTATGGGAGATATGTTTACTGGTACATCACAGTGACAATTCCTTCCACACACCTTGATGCTGTATATGAACTAATATCGACCTTGATACACTGAGAATAGTTTTAGAATTTGGGAATTCACTTTAGGGACTTCCCTTCAAGGAATCGCTCTGCCTCACTACTTTACTCCATACAATTCTAATCAATGTGTCTAAAACTAAAGTCCCCAATAATTATTAAATCAGCATCCTTATTAGTAACAACTTTGATCTCGTACAGTTTTTCATTGGCGTCAACCGTCATCTGGCAGCATTTAAAAATTTCCATTTAAGAACTTTCTAACAATGAAACACCTGATTCTAACCCGTATCTATTCAATGTCTTGACTATCATTTTTTTTTCATTCCCAACAGAATGTAGTTCATCCCTTATATAAAAGGCTACCACATCCCTCTTTTAAAATGTTTATCACTATTAAATAACTTATAACCTTGAATTTTAAAATAATTCTTATTATCAATATTCTTCAAATTCAACAGTAATTCCATTATATTATAGTCTTCAATTTCAACTTCAGTTCTGAATGCCAGTTCGTTCCTGATACTCCTAACATCAGAATAATAGCAACATATTTGAAATTATTATTTAACTTATGCTCTAAATCTTTTAATCTCCTTGTTGCTTTAGTTATTCATTGTTTAGTCCCAACATTCTAAGCTCCCTCACCATTATGCAAATTTAATTCAAACTGCTAAATTTCTTTAGTGCTTCCCCAAGCATCTTACTACATAGCCTACTTAGTACAGCTTATCTCTAGCATATAATTCACCCTTACCCTGAAAACTATCCCCAGTTCCAACCAGCTCATCTGTTGCTTTAAGCATATCCTTGATAATCTTTCACTTAAGCCTTGGATCCTAAGTAATTCATTCCTGCATCTAGTCCAAGGGAGCACTTCTGAAAGGGCCACACATCTATTTCTTATACCTAAACCTCTATAGGAGTTCTTATCAAGTTAACGTAACATTTTAAGCAGCTCTTTTGATTTACAACTTTCAACATCATTCACTTCTATGTGCTACCAGTGTGTTATATGCAAATTTGTATTTGTAATTGTAGTAGGTAATGATTAAAGATAACTAAACAGGTATACTTATCAATGTGTTTTTTGTTTTACAGTATTAACAATGGATTCAAGATCTATCACACTTAGGCTTCAGTTTTTCTAACTTACTTTTTACATATAAAATACTCTACATATTCTATCTCATTTATATCATCTTAAATTAATATATAAAACTTACAATACCTTTAAGTTAACTAATATAGTAAACTTTGTATATGGGAAAATATTTTTGATTATATTAATTTTATACATTAGCAACAGTAACTTAATTCTACCAATAACACTAATGAGTAATGTTTAACTTATAAGTTATATAGCTTCTTCCAATTATTAATGAGTGTTAATACGTCATTAATTTTAAGAGTCATAATTTATATTAGTAACAGTAACATAGAATTTGTCCTTTGAAAATATCATACCCAAAAAATCAAGTTACATTAGGTTACTCACTTAAATTTATTTAAATTGATGTTATATTTTGAAACTAACAAGTATTTACTTTAGGCCTACCTTTACGGTACCTACTTTGAGTTTCACTCGTTTTGAGTCATTGGGACTTTTCCTCCAAAATTATAATAAATTTTGGCTTTGTGAAATAGAAAAAAAGTTATTAATTTTCCAAAACAAAAGCTTTATTATGAGTATGATGCAGTGGAATTTTGAAGTATATTATGCCTCCTTTACTTTAAATAAGCTAAATTACGATATATTGCACTAGCTGTAGCACGCACTTCTTTTAGTGTAACACTAACACTAAGTTTTGTAGGCATAAGCAATAGTATTGGTAATACTAGTATTATGTATTTAGAGTATTAGGCCTAGTAGTACTTAGTTATTGTTTAATGAGTTTCACGTTCCTCGTACAACTAACGAGCGCTAAAGTTAATTTGAAGTTTATTTATGAAATCTACCTGAATTTGATATAAGAAGTTGTGACAATCCTGATCAGGCCTTCTCTACTTAATAGACTAGTAGTAATAGGCTTGGCAATACTCGTAATACATACTTAATCGTAATCCTACGCAAGGCCTGATTCGGAGGCAATCAGACGATGACAATTTTAAAGTAGGCTTAAGCTATTAAATAAGTAATAATGCACAGCCAATATTATTAAAAAATTCCTTTTAATTTAAGTTAGTTTTAAACTTTCAATAACAAAAATTGCCTTTAACAGTAATTTGATTTATTAATTACAATAGTTTGTGTTTGCATTAGTTCAAATACAGCAACAAATGTTATTTATATTTCCAAATTTACATCTTCTTAAAATATTTCATTTTTACCAAACAATTCTGATGTTATGGACGTAATATATATATATATATTGGTCTTTGTAACACTGTAAATCACAGTGATTTATATTAAAAATCGTAACGCTAAAAAGTTATTGTATCTTTATTAAAAGTTATTAAAATGGCTTTTTGTAGTATAATTTGAACTGTACTACAATACTATGTTATTATTGCTTGAAATTGTTGTTATTGTTACGTCTCTGTTTGTTAATTTACTTTCCGTAACTTCATTCCGACGAAACTTTAGCGACTGGTTTATTCTTTCTGAATATAACTTTACCGATACACTCAACTTCAACAGTTGCGCTATAACAAGCTATAATTCACGTATCACGAGCTAGACTTCAACAATACGTCTCTCTCTGACTGCAGTTCAATTACTCATTACCTACACACACACTGTCACGTCACGCCGTGACCATCTTGTATATATCAGACCACCCCCCAATCTAGTAAATGCTAGAGCACTCCCGAAGGAACGGGATAGTTCTAGAAAGAAGGTTGCGTGACAATAGTCACGTGATCTCGCTGACGCAACATTACTTTCATAGTGCAAAGCAGCACAATGGACTATCTGCACTCTTTCCACAGCGGAAATCGAAACCTGGATCTTAGTGTTGTAAGTCCATAATTGGCTTGGTGACTAAAGCGCTCGACTTACTATCTGCAGATCACGAGTTCGAATCCCGTCACCGAACATGCTCGCCCTTTCAGCCGTGGAGGCATTATAATGTAATGGTAGCAGAGTAGTCTCAGAGTTAGCAGTAGGTGGGGTTGACTAGGTGCCTGTCCTTCAGTCTATCACTTCTAACTTAAGGACTGCTAGCATATGCCGATAACCCTCGATTAGCTTTGCGCGAAATTCCAAACACAACAAATAAACAAACAAACAAGTTCTTAAATTTATCCGTGATCCACCGAGGGATATTGTAGAAATGATTAATATTCCCTTTTCTTTTTCTTCTTCTTTTTAGCTGAGTTTTTGCCATGCCATTCTTCATCTTGATCGCATTTTTCATGTCGAGTAAAATATAAATTCTAACAATGAACCTTCATAAATGTTTCATTTGAATTATAAATTATGTTGAAGATGGTATAATAAAGTTAAACAAGCAGTTATTAAGATAAAATGGTATTACAGAAAATAGGGTAAATGTTTAAAGTCTCAAATTACCGACTTAAATTTATGCTGTTCACTACCAGTGGGATTTACAATACTAAAATGTAGGGTTCGATACTTGCGGTGGGCAGAGTGCATATAGCCAATTGTGTAGCTTTTTACAACAGCAATAGCTGGTGAGATTCACATATTGCTTATTGAGTGATTTTGTCTTTGCCTGTTACAACATTCAGTGTGAAGAACTGAGCAAGAATATTGGATGAAATCACTAGTTTTTATGTGAAATACATAGGGGACCACAACAGTAATTATTAGGATTAATTATAATAGTGATGGTATTTTTCATTACAATCATTTTTGTGTGATTTGTATATTATAAGGGACCCTGAAATGAACAAACTCGTGAACCAACAAGCAATGTGTTGAATAAATAGTTTAGAAAAATGAGTTTAAAATGCTGATGGATCTCATCGATTATTTTATATTTATCGTCTTATTATCCTCTGCTCAACAATTAAAAACAAAAACGCACTTATTTAGGCAAGCTAAGAGTTGATTTATAAAAGGATAAGTGGAAGACACACTCACATTAACATCAGCAAGAGATTCCAATCTGACTAGGAATTTGAACAAAAGTTTATCGTCCATTGTACAAACAAGACGGTAGCATTAGTGTGGTAGTGAAACATACCAAATGTTTTCGTTTTAGATTGGAAAAGTGGACATTATTTGCATTTTCAATTTTTGATGCACATGTTGAATGAGCGTAAATCGTGCATATATGATCTTATCAGGTTTATTTATTTCCCCTCAGAGTGATAAGACAGATTGTGCAGAATAACAGAAGTCCTGACAGAAAATGTATCACGGAGCAGATATGAATTCTATAACTTTTAATAAGTTTGAAAAATTGAAAAGACTGGACACAGTGTATGAAAAAGTGAAACAACATTTATTCAAATCACAAATATAGTCAAATTTTGTGTATTGAGACAAGGGGTTGTGAAAATCTTTCTAGATGAGTTTCAAACTGAGAAAACATATCACCCACGCGACTGGTCGTTATTCCCACTGCGAAATTATAGAGATTATATTCCCAAGGGGAAACCTGACTTGCCATTGGACAATATTCTGTCTACTTTCGTATAGTATGTATAATTCTACAGAAGTATTTTAAGACTGAAAGACAGGGATAATACTTTAGATGGGTGACTCAGAACAATAGGTATATGTGGCGAAAGGAGCTTAGCGACTTTTTTTTGCCAGTGTTCCTATTAATTCTACATACACCTTAATGAGTGAAAACATTTGAAAAACTCTATATAAAAACAAAGAGTAGCAAACACAAATTATGATTGCATATTACACAGAAACGGGTGACTTAATTTTTCTTGTTGTAATACCTGAATACTCTATTTTTGCTAATGGGATGAGTAAGTAACGTGGTAGACAAATGAACTCTCGGAGATTTGGCTCTTTTTCACTAAGAATATAGTAACTGATTCTTTCAGTAAAGTCAAATTTATCTGGAGAAATTCTCCGGATTTTACTTGTCGAATATTTCCCTCCATTTAGGGAGAAGTTGAATCATTTTCGTCTCTGTACACAAATCTGAAAATAAATGATTGTTTATCTTTTGTTTGGGTATTGGTCATAACCGAGTTAATGGTGGTGTAGAGAATTTTGCAAGTTTCCATGAACTGGTTTTTATCTCCTTTGAAGATATATAATGAAAATTATTTAAAACATTTGATGACCTGACTTAACAGTGTAGTATCATGAGTTCTAATTATATCTTTTCTTGAAAGAAGTTGTAATTTCCCTTTTTCTCTCTGCTTAATAAATGGTTAGTAGTATTCTTGAATATTAGACACAGAAGCTCACCAGTGAGGCAGACACCAATACTTTATATGATAAAATAAAATAAAAAGGTATTATCGTTTTTACAACTTCTGACAACATCTTTTTTCTTTCCTGTCCATATCAATTTTATACTTTGCATAGCAAATCCTGACCCTGCTTTATATAACAGATGCTTATAAATTACCTGTAATACAAGTTAATGTAACTTGAATACCAACAGAACTTAACTTAATTAAGCTTTACTACTTTTGGTCTAATAACCCAAGGTACCTTGTTTGGGAACTAATTTTATT